GGTGAAGAAAAGGAGCTGAAGCCATCTTTTACCCATCTCATTACATGTATGCAACAGGGAGTCGTGTCAGTGTGCAGACAGACAATATTTTGTTGATGCAAAGAGTTCAGCTTTAATATCCTTTAAAACACATTAGCTCATCATCCCTAGCTCCCTAAGCTAATACACACAGTAAGGTCCACCTACTCAGATCCTTACTTATCTTTACCTGACAGTGGATTTGTTTCTTCCACACTAGAGCTAGGGGTACTTACCCATTCAAATTTATTGGGAATCCCTGCACAAGCAAGGCAAGGTTTTGGACTCTAAACCCCATAAGGAGGGATCTGCTGTTAGGAAGAGGTAATCTGGAAAATAAAAAATTATGTTGTCTTGAAAAGAAGCTGTTGGATGCCATTCACCTCAGTATTCACAACAAGCAAAATAATTCACTGCCTGAATATTATTCTGCATCTGACTCTTTTGGGGGTGTAGGTGCCCTCCTGCATGTTGTGGTTCCTGCTGCTGGCCATCACATTGCCATTGTGTCCTGTAGTTGTTTAGAGGTCTGCAGAAGAAACCACAAAGCACAGCGGGGCACCAGACATGCACCACCCCCAGATCTGTGAGCTTCAGAAGAATACTCAGCAGCTGTATCCTATAGATACAGAGGAAAATGGAGACAGGACAGGTAGATATTAAATGGCTTCTTTTCCAGGCAATATAGGGCATGTTTATGTGTGGAGGTCTAGGATAGATTAGGTTAAAGAGTTGGGATGGGTGGGCTAACAGATTTTTTTAAATTAAAACTTAACTAGTCTTTAAAAAAAAAGTAAAGTGTAACATGAATAGCTGAGAACAAAATCACATATAACCAACATCAATCTGTGTAGTGGTAATCACCTACAGTATAAATTTGGTTTAAAATATGAAAAATAAAATTTGCCAACAGTATTGAGCGGTCCTGACTGGTTGTAGTTTGAATGAATTGTATTGGTATACAGTAAATATACAGTATATTAGATCTGACAGATTTACAAGTTAGAGCCAGTATTATCTGTGTTTTGCTAGCTTTAGACTGAAGACCATACACTGCCCAGTCCTTACAGACTTCCAAATTAACAAATCGATTGCAATTGGAGATGAGAAGAAAGAGAGAGCAAAACTTGCATCCTTATTTCCCAGATCTATGAATTGTGCAAAGCTCTGTGGTTTGGGTGAATTTGCCCATCCATATTTAGGAGATCTGGACAATCTCAGTTAACAAAGTATCGGATTTGCCAGCACTTGTCTTACAGTGAAATGTGAATGAGTTTGTTCATCAAGCAGATTTGGTAGATTATTTTCCAGAAGCCTTGTGTGATAAGTCTTCTGTTCTTAGCCTTTCCCTAGAGAAAAAAATGAAAACCAGACTTTCACAACAAATACTTACCTAACATCTCACCTCAGAAGTGAAAGTCGCAGCAGCAATTAGCACTTGTCATTCCTTTTAAAGCTGAACTTCAGAAAGACATAAAAGACACAAATTATTACAGCTCCATATTCATGGATACCTTGGTAAATGTAGTTTTAAATGCAGCTAGTGCAAGTTCCTGAATTTGACCTGGTATCAAGCACTTGCTGTCCCTGTACACTGGCACTCAGACTGGGAGCAGGAAAAGCAGCACAAGGAGCACCAAAAGAGCTTTGGCCCTACTTTTCCTTTAACTGCAGGAGGGATAAACAAAGTATTTCACTCTGCCGACCAGGCTGTGCTGTGTGGTAGAGCTGTAAAAATCTCAAAACTGAATGGGCATAAAAACAAGTGAATATTCTAGATGTAATATAGTTTCTCTGACCCAATGGATTCAATACTTTCTGAATACTGACCTGAAACATGCATGCAGACAAAGTCATTGCTAAGTTCTCATGCATCTGCATACTTGTTCCTGGTCAAGTATTGAAGCAAGAGGGTCAACAAGATAGCCATCAAAGGCAGCTTTCATTGTTTCATTCAAGGAAGCATGGCAAGTATTTTACTGAAATCTGTATAACCAGCTTACACCACTAAGACCAGAGGCAAAGATAAAAGAAAAAAACAAAGTATCCTCTGTGAACTCGATTGATCATTCACTCATTAAATAGATGATTGATAGCTATTGTTGGAAAATATACTACATAACTATGTGAACTATACACAGTCATCAGCTGGAGCTGATATTAGTGGTGTGATTCACATGATTTTATCCCAGCTTTCTGACCCTGTGCTGTCTTTATTGATTATACATAGGTTAGGGAAAAGTCTGCATATTTAATGTTATCTCAACCCGATTTGGTCCTTGAAATGAACACCATTTTATTGGTCTGGCACAATTGGATATTCTTTAGTAAATCCTCCCTTTCTAAGATCACATATAATACTAAGAAAGCCAGCATTGTTTAGTATCTGATATTGATTTTAGATCAACATTTGGCTTTTCTGTCCTTTTGCTCCAAATGCTAGTAGTCATACCTGTAATGACATATAGCCTAGTATGTTACCATCTGACATTTATCTATGGTGCATCAACACTCACAGAGAATTATGCCTGAGTTGGCAAAAAGGGCATTTGTGTGAAGCGATCAATAATATGGGAGCCCTTTGTTTGTCAGATCAATACTGTGTAATGAAGTACGCGTTCTATTTCTCTAGCACAGTTCTCTGTAAGAGACAGAAGTGTATCCTCTGTCTCTCAGATCATATAACAAATGGACATTTACAATATCTTACCTTACTCTTTATTTCATCGAACAGTTGTAAGCTCATATGGTGGATAGTAACTCTTCCACTACCATGGCATAGAATGTTATATGTAGTAAGAATTGATTTCTTTTTATAAACCAGTATATTGTTTTTAAAGCAGAAACAGCTGCGGTTATTGAATATAACCAACCAATGTGTTTATGCAGTCGGTGTCTGATAAGATGAAACTGTGCTGATGTTTGCCAAATCATACTGATTGACAGCATAGTTCAAACATTAATAATGTCTGGAAAGCTGATATTGCATCATGGGATTTTTTTTACAAGTTCAGACCTTTTTAGCTTTGATTTGTTTAGGAAAAGTGTCACACAGGGGTTAAAATTTAAATGTTAAGTAGCACATAGATTACTCAATTTTATTTCCCTTTACCATGCGTGGAAGGAAAGAAAATTACTCAATTCCCCTATCAACACTGACTGTGCCTCCCGCAGTGTTATTGTGTTTTGCCGGCGGGGCGCCTTTCCTGGCTCGTGGAACAATAAGGTTACAGTAATCAAATGTCAAAAAATCTGACAGGATGGCTGTACCCAAGTCAATTAATGGATCGACTTGGGTATAATCAGCCTGCCCATACATGGATCAAATCTCAGCTGGTTCCTGCTGAACTGACTGAATTTTGCTCCACGTATGGCCGGCTTTAGGTAATGGCCTGGGAAGTATTTTTTTTCAGAAAGGGTTATTATTTGCTTTTTTGGTTTGGAATTGCATTGGGTATATTATATGGCTATTTTACATTTACAAATTGCTTAGTTAAATTAACTTCTATAGAAGTGCTCTGAGATGAGAATAATGTAATCACTTGTAAATATGTTACTTTCTGCTACTCTGACAGAAGTTCTACAGTGGCAGTAGTAAGTGCGGTTATTGTGTGACATCCTGTTCTACTTAATCATGCTAATTAGATAAATTCAACAGATTGGCATTAAAGAGAGTGAAAACCTGTAAGTGTATTGTATAAATATACGCCAGGTGTGTAGCAAATAAATTCTTAGTGTGGGTGTATTGCATCTTTTATTTCGAGGAAGAAATATAAGATTTAAATTTACATGTATAAGAAGACAGAACAACTTCAGCCACAGGGAGAAAGACCACCACTGGGGCTCATCTAACCTACATATCTTGTGAAATGTGTGACAGCTAAACTGCCATTGTGCTTTGCAGCAGGTCCCCAAAAGGCCTAGCTATGTCACAGTTGTGTTTATTGGCCTGTATGTTATGTTCCCACAATTTACACAGCACCATACAGTTTTGACATTTGCAAGCCGTATAACCAAAATAAACAGGCAAATAGGGATGAAGAAGACCCTGATGAATAAAATGTAGATACACAGAGGTATAAGAGTTTACAAGAAAGATTAATATTTAAAGCTGTTTTTGTAAAAAGTTTTAGGAGTTTTATTTAAAAAATTCATTAGTTATGACATGTTTCTTAAAACATTGCTTTTTTTTTCCTTTTTGCATCTGAAACACTGTAGAACATCCTCAGCTAGCATTCCATGGAACCCTAGAGATCCTCTAGAGCAGTGATGGCGAACCTTTTTGAGCCCGAGTGCCCAAACTGCAACCCAAAACCAACTTATTTCTTTCAAAGTGCCAACACTGCAATGAAACCTGAATATCGAGCTTTTGGTTTAGAAAAAACAACTCGTACAGTAGTGCAAACTAATTAACAGTACAGGGATGACCAGAGACTGTGGACAGTACAGGGATGACCAGAGACTGCGGACAGTACAGGGATGACCAGAGACTGCGGACACAGTACAGGGATGACCAGAGACTGCGGACAGTACAGGGATGACCAGAGACTGCGGACACAGTACAGGGATGACCAGAGACTGCAGACACAGTACAGGGATGACCAGAGACTGCGGACACAGTACAGGGATGACCAGAGACTGCAGACATAGTACAGGGATGACCAGAGACTGCGGACACAGTACAGGGATGACCAGAGACTGCGGACACAGTACAGGGATGACCAGAGACTGCAGACATAGTACAGGAGATGACCAGAGACTGCGGACACAGTACAGGGATGACCAGAGACTGCGGACACAGTACAGGGATGACCAGAGACTGCGGACACAGTACAGGGATGACCAGAGACTGCGGACACAGTACAGGGATGACCAGAGACTGCAGACACAGTACAGGGATGACCAGAGACTGCAGACACAGTACAGGGATGACCAGAGACTGCAGACACAGTACAGGAGATGACCAGAGACTGCGGACACAGTACAGGAGATGACCAGAGACTGCGGACACAGTACAGGAGATGACCAGAGACTGCGGACACAGTACAGGAGATGACCAGAGACTGCGGACACAGTACAGGAGATGACCAGAGACTGCGGACACAGTACAGGGATGACCAGAGACTGCGGACACAGTACAGGGATGACCAGAGACTGCGGACAGTACAGGGATGACCAGAGACTGTGGACAGTACAGGAGATGACCAGAGACTGCGGACAGCACAGGGATGACCAGAGACTGCGGACACGGTACAGGGATGACCAGAGACTGCGGACACGGTACAGGGATGACCAGAGACTGCGGACACAGTACAGGAGATGACCAGAGACTGCGGACAGCACAGGGATGACCAGAGACTGCGGACAGTACAGATGACTGCTGACCTTTGGGGAGGTGGGGAGCGGGTACCTGAATTTGACAGGTACCTGCTCTTACTTCCGCAGAGTTTTTTTTTTATCTTACCTGTTCCTTTATCCAGCCGCGCGCTGTCTTCCCGGCTTCTGTAGTGTGGGCGCTCGTCGGACAGCCGGATGCCCAGTGCGCATGCGCGAGAAGCGCTGCACTTTTGTGATTGGTCCGGCGGCTTCTGGGATCTGTCATGTGTCCCAGGTACCGCCTTACCATTCACAAAGAGCACTGCTTCTTGCGCATGCGCACTTGGGACCCGGCTGTCACGCACACTACAGAAGCCGGGAAGACAGCGCGCCGCTGGATAGAGGGACAGGTACGGTCCCACTGCAGAGCTGAGCGGCCGGCCCGGTATTCTGACACGGCGGCGGTGGAAATACTGGACCGGCCGCTCTATATTCGCTCCATAAGACGCACTGACATTTTCCCCCCTTTTTTTGGGGAAAAAAAGTGCGTCTTATGGAGCGAAAAATACGGTATTCTCCTGGCATGGCCACAGATAAGGCTCGGCGTGCCGGCTGTGGCACGCGTGCCACGGGTTCGCCATCACTGCTCTAGAGGATGCTAGGTGCTCCTTGAGCAATTAACCCATTCTACCTCTCAGTTAATTAACCACTAACACCAAAGATCTTTTTGGCTATCTCTGAGGAGGGCATTTTCCCGCTTAATGTAAAGAACATTTTTCTCTCTAACTACCGGTGAAAGGGTGCCCTTTTCCACTGACCACCAATATAAGGAGGCACATCTCAATTGACCACCCATGTGAAGGAACACTACAATTTTCACTGTCTTTTCTGGCCCTGTCCTGTATATCATTTGTTTAAATGAATTGTTATTAAAATAATTTTGTCATATAGAACCTCATTCCTTTTTCTTCTGTTATTTATTTATATATATCAACTTACTTTCCACACTAATGTACTGTGAGATGTAGACATAGTAATTATTGGTAGAGGTTCCTTGAGACCCGAATGTTAAGTTTACAGGTTCTTGTAAAGGCCTCTGTAAAGAGAAAAAAAGTTTTGAAGGATCTATAAAATGTGAAAAAAAAAAATGTTTGATTTTTATGCTTTTTCATATCTAAACATAGTGACTACAAAAAAATTTTCTTAAAAGAAAGGTAAAGTCTTCTAACTGGTTACCTGCAATATAAAGATGGTATGGAGTGGGAAAAGTTAGATAAATGAAGTTACTGGCCAGGTTGTGCACCTTTGGTTTGTCGAGGATTAGGGTTGGTTTACACAGTAGTAGGCACAGAGTAGTTTGTTTTGTGATAATGTCAAGTAAGTTAGATAACCTGGTACCAGTCTGTAGTAGCCTTTGCTTTAAATATTTGATCATCCACACAAGTCAATTACCTGTTTCCCCCATTGCTTTCAGTTTCTTTGCTGGCTCTTATGTCCTGTAGGGATACACAAGCCAGCAGGAGGACCCATTGCATGTGGTGGGGATAGCAGGAATTCACACACCTGAAAGTGTTGGATACATGCGGCTGGCAGGGATGTTTCAAGGCGCAGTCCACAGGAAAGGTAAGGATGTTGCATCTACTTTCTGCAGGTATTGCTGTTTGCTATTTTGACCCTGTAGAGCAGTAGTGTCAAACTGGCGACCCTCCAGCTGTTGCGAAACTACAAGTCCCATCATTCCTTTGCCTTTGGGAATCATGCTTGTAACTGTCAATCTTGCAATGCCTCATGGGACTTGTAGTTTGGCAACAGCTGGAGGGCCGCCAGTTTGACACCCGTGCTGTAAAGACAGGGCAAGTTTAAGCCTGTGTAATGATCAGATGCACAAAAAAATATGCCCCCATGTAAAGGAAACATTATGTTGATTAGTATCTATGAGCTATCTAGGCCAGGGGGCCTCCTGGGGGAAGAATAAAAGCAGCAGCATCATGGCCTGAAGCATTCTTTTGTTCTAAAGCAGTGCAAAGGGAATAGTTTGCAGAGTGTCCATCTGTAGTACGTCATTTGGTTCACTCAATACAACACACTGAACATTTCCCATTCAGGAACATGTCCTACCATTACAGTTCATGTGTACAAGCACTACTGAGCATTTACTGTATATAAACAAAGAATAGGTCTTGCGTTGCATCTTGTGTAGGTAGATGTCAGTGTTCTATGTAGAAACTAATGTCTCTGCAGTATCCACCATTTCAAATCAGACCTAAGGGGGTTCAAATGGAAGTGGATTATAGATGAGCCATAAGCACAACTGCCATGGCTTGACCTGTCAGCTTCCATCTGACATCCTGACACTAAAATGGGGGACAATTGTCTGTTGAACTGCTGGAAGTCTCAAATATAGGGCCCACAGTGCTTCTTTATGGGTATTTAGTGCTCCTTTAGGCTAGGTTCATATGTCCACATTTTGTGCAGGTGCTTCTGGCTGCTTGGCTGCTGCACCTACAGGAAAAATGTTCCCAATCCTTTTGCCAAAACATACCCACATGGAACCACATGGTTCTGCAGCACCATGTGGTTTAATGCACCCAGCTGACGCATAGGGGTGCTATTAATAATTGATGGCACCCCCAGCATCTACTAAAGAGCAGTGCATTTTGACTACAGGTGCCAGTGGGTGCAGGAACACATGTTCCTTCATATGTGTGAACTTAGGCTTTGGTTAAGATTTTTTGGTAAACTTTTTTTTTATTTAAAATACTGAATACTTGATCTTTATGACAGCTCTGGCTTATACTTTTTCACATTTGTATGAACACCGTCAATGAGTATAACATCTAATGTCTTAATGGCATCTCACATCGTACAGTTGATTTGTTTAGGTAGTATGTTGTATTGTTCTTCGTAACTTCAAACAACCGATTGGCTGTAGGTAAATTATAAAATGGATTATTTACCATGAATCTGATGGGGTGTATGAAGTGAACACAACTTTTCTGGGTCAGTGTGTATGATAAATTACATCTTTATATCCCCCTTATGTGAATGCCATGCTTCTTGAATTACACAGGCAGATGCTTTCGGGAAGGGCAGACTTCAACCTACTTTCAATAGAAAACAAGCGCTTCTGATTTTGCTAAATCATTTTGTTGCTAGAAGCGTTACTAAGAGCCAATTGGTAGGCTGAATTTGTTAAAGGCTGAGCAGTATGTTTCTTGGAATAATGTGGAGGTGCTGGGAATGTATAGGTCTCTTGTCTGCTCTCTGTTGTTTCCCACTGTAATTTCAGTGTGAAACAAAATGCGCTAGAGCTTTCCTGGCTTGTCTGCTCCGCTCAGAGATGATCCGTTACGAGTCAGCTATTGTTTCTAAATCTCCTGATGAATGGTCTGGGCCTGCTTTTTAGCATTATGCCTGGAATGCTCTGATTTGCCTCGGCCCTTTGTGGAAACCAGGTCATGTGAAAAATAAAAAGAATGACAAATCTGAGTGAATTCTGTTATGTTGTTTTGGCATTAGTGACGTCATGGAACTTTGTGTTCAGCGGGTCTGATGTTTTGCTGAGTGTCCAAAGTAATTGGCAGAATAAAGTATGAATACATAACCAGTTTACTGAAGGCTTTGTTCTACCTTTCATCCGGAGCCGAATTCCAAATATTTCCTTTCTTAGAGAAAATATCCCTCCAAGAGGCTGTTCCAACCAGATGCCCTTGAAAACACATGTTGCGCGTAAAGTTGCGTTGCCATGCGTTTGGGTTGTTTTGTATTATTGAAGGGCATCATTTAATTTATTGCAGGCCAAGGCGCCCAAAATGCAAGATATAGGATTTTTCCCAAACACATTTCAAAATTCATTTTCTTCAGGCACAATGCACAACAGCGCATTTGGTGAAAAATGAGTGTTTGAAACAATACCAAAACCCTTTCTAGTCTTATACTTTCCTGCCACAATCCAACATTTTGCATTTTTTAAATTGTACTGAATACACACAAAGAAGCCTTAGAATTATAATTGAGTTTTATACAGCTATAAAGAAAAAAAAACATGTAATGTAGCTATAATGTATTATCATTAAAATTATAGTTTTATATGCAGAAGGTAGAAGTGTCTGAATTTGCCGTTGTATTAGCTATCTGCAATTGCTTTACGTCAGTCTGACCCTAGGTTCACACCTAAGTGTTTTCTGCAGCGTTTTGCAGAAACACAGTACAGTCCATTTTAACATAATTTCCTATGGGACATGTTCACACCTGTGCGTGTTCACACCGGTGCATTTTTTGGAAAGGGTCAGGGACTTTTTTGAATGCAAAAAGTTGCGTTTTTGTTTCTAGAGACTTCTATGGAAACGCTGCAGAAAAGCATGTATTTCTTTTTGCTATGCTTTTGATTCATTTGTGCCATGTTTTTTATGCATTTTGTGTTTTAAATCTGCCTAGCAACAAGAAAAAAAACGCATCAAAAACGCGGCAAAAATGCAGGTGCCAAAACGCAAAGCAAAACGCAATGCAGAAACGGCTCAAACACAACCTGCATAGGTGTGAACCTAGCCAGTGAAATGGTGGTCCAGCTGTGTCAGTCTCATCCACTTTGTGAAGTACTTTTAGTCTAACACCAGCAAACAAGCTTTCAGGACAGAAGAGCCCAGAACTGACCTCATCAATTTGCTGCTCTCCCCCACATTGAAGAAGGCTTGGACAGGGAATTGATACCAGTGTATGCTCTAAGGAAAAGGTGGTGTAATTTTCGTATGTGTTATGGAGAGATGTGTGAATTACAAAACTAACAAAACAGAATCATGAAGATTTTGAAAGATAAAGCTGTTCAGGTATACTTACTTCACGAGTGTATTTTAGTTTGGCCAAAGTTTAGTTGTTTACAGAACAGCAACATATGGTAATGCATATTATATTTCAGGTTCCAGTTCTTAAATTCTGAGGACTGAAAAATGTTGACTTGTTCTGTGTTACAGGACTTTGCCTTATTATGTGAAGTCTATACTG